TCTTTGATGCAACAGAGTCATATGCGCGATGGATGCAGACCGCTTCGTTGATAGAAGTCTTACATGCGGCGTTTGGTATGTTCATCATTCCTACCTCTTCTTGTGCATCTCATTGAGAACGATACCAGGTGTCATCAAATCTCCAGTCAGCACAACCGCACTTCAAGTTGTTACACGCGTCATACAGGTTTGGATGGTGTGGTACAGCTTTCCGCAAAGCACAGCAACTTCGCATGCTTATCTTGCCTTGCTCCTTGCTTGGTCGGTCGCAGACACCATCCGGTACCTGTATCTTGCGGTCAACATGCACGGGAAAGCCCCGAGAGGACTGGTGTGGCTCCGGTATGTTCTCAAGCCACCTCATCCGCTACTTGGTCCTACCTAGGTAGCTGACTGTCCCAGGTATACCATGTTCTACCCACTCTATCCGGTCGGTATCGGGGCTGAGTGGTGGTTACTGTACCGGTCTATTGCTCCTGGAGCGAAGGTCAGCCCAGTCATACCGCTCGTCTTCTACTTCTGCTTGCTGCTGTACATTCCAGGTATGATTCTTTTATGGCGGCTTGTTTATACTCGAAATTCACATCTTATTAGGTTCCTACACCATGTACACCTACATGATCAAGCAAAGAAGGAAGACACTGGGTTCCAGACACAAGGTCCAGTAAGCGCATGGATTTGGTTGCGTTCCAGTACGAACGTAGTCATATGCAAAGGATGGGCAGTCTTTTTGAACAGCTCTGTCTCCGTAACGGCTAATGTCTGGAATGTGGGAAGACACGCGCAATGGCATTAGCCCGGGACAGGCCAAGGCTGCAATGAAGGCTAGCGTATGTGATATGACAGGGCCGACACCAAGGACGAAGACGAAGAGCATGATAGTATTGCAAGAGGTTAGCATGACCGACGGTAGTAATGTTTAGAAAGAAGAATATATAACCATAAGAACCGGACCCACATATGGCAGACAGGTTAGATGTAGGAAACCTTGACGCCCATTCCTACGGTACGTCTCACCTTGTCCCACGCACTCCGTATGATGCGTAGTATCCTCTCTCTAAGAGGGCGCCTGCCAAACGCCAAGCCAAACGCCAACAAGAAAAGTAAGGTACGGAAGAAAGCCATGGGATTGGAAGTCATGTGATGGGCCGTATCGGAAATCAGGGTGTGCATGTTTGCGAACATGGTAGACGCGCGGTTGTAGAGGCCGGGCGGCGGCGTGGCTGGTTTCTTGGCGGGCGTTCGGGAGGTGCGGGAAGACTGCGATGGCGTGGGTTGTGGCTCGTCTGAGCCGCGGGGTTGGCGTCTGTTTTGTTCCTCGCGTATGCGGCGTTCGTCTTGTGCGCGCGCCTGGTCGAGGCGCTGGGCCTCGGTTTCTCTGCGGCGCTGGTCCATTTGCTCCTGTTGTTGCTGGCGCAGCTTCTCTTCGCGGGCTTGCGTGTCTTCCTTTTCTTCCTTGAGAGAGTGCAGTGCGAGCAGGAAGGCTTCCTTGCGCTCTTGGTCCAGCACCTCGGACATGTCGATGAAGTCGCGGGCATAGTCCCATTCGTCGTTGCGTGGCAGGACGTGCAGGGTGTAGAGCTCGAGGAGTTTGATGCGCTTTTCCAGGTCGCGCGGGGTGTCAGACCGGTGTGAGGAGGCGTCGGGGGCCGGGTTGGCCGTGGCGGACAGGTACGTCTCGAGCTTCTGCTGGTTGAGCCGCTGCGAGGGCGCATGGGTAAGGAGGAGGGTGGCGAGGTTGACGACCACGTCGGCGTCGACGTCGCCCTCGACACCCGCATAGCCGTCGCGGACCACGTGGTCCCAGATGCTGCCGTCGCGACACTGCGAGACCAAGTGCTTCCATCGCGTGCTGCCAAAGGCGTGCTTGCCCTCTTCGGCGCCCAGCTCGACCACGGCGTTGAGGAAGGTGAGGTAGAAGCTCCACACCTTGACCCGGGTGCCGCGCGACGCCGTCGCGACGGGCGCGTGGCCCACGACGTCGGCCGCGTCGATTGGCGGCGGGCTGATGATGGGCTCGATGGTCGACAGCGCCTCGGGGAGGCGTCGCGTCAGGAACAGCTGGGCAGCCTGTCGGTAGGCTTTGGCCATCTGCGACGACTGTTGCCGTGACGTCGAGAGCGACGAGATGGATGATGAGAGGTAGCGCGACCCGCTGACGTCGTCGTAGAGCGTCGCCATGTTTCGATGTCCTCTGAGCTTCACGAGCGCACAGCGGTGGGTGACGGAGCGCCCGGTGTCAACATTTCGAACCTCGGCTGACCTCACCTCACCCGAACCGCCTTGGCGCGTCACCTGCCTCCGACACCCCGAGCTATCTGCGTTTGCATCAGTCTGCAGACGTCAACTGGTTGTCAAGGTGCTTGACACGCGCTTGCCTGCGTCAAGCTCAGAGGCAGGAGCTAGACACGCGCTTTGTCGCTTGATCCATCGCTGCTAACCTCCACGACCATCTCTACGCGTCTCGCCATCATGGACGTCGACGCAGCTACCTTCCCGCACCACTTGCTGGCCATCTTCATCCACATATCCGAGGCCGACTTTGTGTCTTTTGATCTCGAACTGTCCGGCATTCCATCGCGCATCCAAGACAAACCTGCACATGGCCCGGCCCGCTTCACCATGGAGGAGCGCTATGCCGAGACCAAAATGGGCGCCGACCGCTATCAGATCCTACAGGTAGGTATCACCTGCGCGCGCTTCGACTACCTTGCCAACACCTATGTCTTGAGGCCTTACAACATCAACATCAGCCCGCTTTTCGACGAGCGCATCGACTTTGAGCGTGAGATCAAGTTTCAGAGCGGCGCGTGTACCTTCCTCCTCAACAATGGTTTCGACCTGGGGGCTCCATTTGCCACAGGCGTACAGTACTTATCCCGCGACGAAGCAGAGCGAGCAAAGCGCATGGCCTGGGATCGACTCGAGAACAAGAATCCCATACCCGATCTGCAACTTAACTCGGCAGATGTCGAGTCGCTCGACTTTATGCGCAGGGTGAGGCAAGCCATTGAGAAATGGAAATCTAGCACTTCGTCGTCCTTGGACATTACAACTCATACAGGGCTTTCCACTCCGCCCGTAATACCCGTCATCACGCGATTCGAGAAGCGTCTCGTGCATCAGCTCGTGCGCGCAGAGTTCCCAGAGTTGGTGTCCATAGGACGCGGAGAGTGTATTCGTATCCTTCATCTAGACCCTGTGCGTGAGGCCGACAACATGCGCAGGATCAAGAACCGCGTCAAAGAATCCATTGTCCGACAAACCGGCTTCCGCTGGATCTTTGAGGCTTTAGTCAAGGGCGGCGACATCAATCGCGCGGATCCACTCTATGTCGCACGCACTACTGGCACCATTGTCACTGCCGACGCACATGATATAAGGGATCGCTACGACAGAGCCATAGAGAGACTTAAAATTAAGCAGCCCGTGCTAGTCGGCCACAACATGTTCACTGACATTGTCTACTTTTATCGTACTTTTGTCGGCCAACTGCCTGCACGTGCAACATCTCCTCATCTGGTCAACGCGCTAACTCTGTACAGGATACCCTGCAAGGCTTCCAGGATGCCATCCATGAGCTGTTCCCCAACATCATCGACACTAAATATCTAGCGACTCATGCTGAAGGCGACCTCAACGCCTCCCCTACACTACAGGATATTGCCGAGAATTCAAGTCTGCAGCCGTTGCCCCACATCGTCACGCATGCCGACCATCCAAAGTACCAAGAGACTGAGGCCTTCCACGAAGCAGGCTATGACAGCCTCCTTACTGCCACCATCATGATCAGGCTCGCCGCCAAGCTTGGTGCGGAGCGAGGAGAACAGGTTCCGGCGCCATTGCCCAGCCGTTCCAGTAACAAAGCGAAAGGAGTGTTGGCGGAAGATGTTCAGGATTTTCTAAAAGATGGACGCGAGAAGGTCGACCTGCCCGTTCCCCTGCCCCCAGTGGAGCAGCCTCAACCCAAGAAAACAAAGAAACAAAGGGCCAAGGCTAGGAAAAAGGAGGCAAGACAACAACAATTCGAAACTAAGAACCTATTCGACACGCTCAAAGCTCTGAGCCCTGACGCCGAATCTTCCTCGACTGAAGATGACGGAGAGGTTAAGCTTCCTGAAGATAGTGAACTTGCAAAATGGGACGAACAGGTTCAAGACGTCGCCGGGTCATGGGAAAATGACGTCTACGTCCAAGATAAGACGGGATGGGTGCCGTTGGAGCAGGTTAAGCGACAGCCAATGGAGCTCATCCCAGCCTTTGATTCAAAGTTTTGGAACGAGTTTGGCAATACATTGCGTGTGTTTGGCACTCAAGAAGCTGTCCTGAAGATCGCAGAGTGGGAGGTTTGAAAGCCGCGCAAGCTTGACTCCAAGCTAATAAAAGGTGGAGTTGGCACCAAGGTTCTCATGGTTGTGTGCAATCTTGAAGAGCTGACGTTACGCCGTGAGCGGTAGTAGAAAGACAAACATGTGTTGTCTCTAATGCGCAACTCGTCTCTGTGCCCATCATGGTGATTCATCATAAGAGACAGTGGTTTGAGTGCGTAACAAAGAGTTCTTCAATGTCTTCCCCTCTTCTTGTAAAGCATGGACACACAGGTTCGGCATTTGCCGCTCATTTCAACGCCCGCCCATGTCATCACCCATATACAGTCTGCTTCTACCGTACACGAACCCGACTTTCGGTCCAAAAGATCGCACCTCCTCAGATATACACGATTTGCCTTTTTCAATCGATGCATATGACTCTGACAGACTACTCATACACCATCACTTCGAACGGCCAGCTCCAACAGATCTCTGCAGCGGTCTCGTGTGCTCTTCAGGACGTCATAGCGTATTCGAAAGATTCCGCAGGGAGAATGCTCGACTTGACATGTATGAGTCCGCAGTTTGACGGAAAATGGTCTCGGGATCGGAAGAGGTAAAGGATATAGGCAGGTTGTCAGGTAATATCAAATTGAAGGGTCGACGTCTGGTGCTGTTGACACAAAGTTTTCAACAACGTGCAGGACCAGCGCCTATGGCTTCTACTGGCTCGATGTTCACCTCCACCGCTTTTGTCTGTGTCGTACTCGATGGGACGATCCCTCGGTTGTGCTCTTCGTCGGAGCCGGGCACATCATTTTCCTGGGGTAATGGCTCAAAGTGCGCATTGTTGACTCTTTTCCTATCGATGCGACGTCTCCAAGGCTTGTACAGCAGAACACTGAGACCACCGAAAACGATAAATGTACCGCATATAGCTCCGCCTGCATCCTGTTAGTGTCGAATTCTTTTAGTGCGATCAATCAACTCACCAACTATATCCCAAGCATCGCCCAGCTTTTCGACGCCTTCCCAAAACTTGCCATGCGGCTCGGCAACGTTGAGCACCAGATTGAGGAACTGCACTGTCCCGATGATGGTCGCGACAACCACGGTAATGACTGTTAGCACAATGCTGTAGTAGCAAATGGCGATCGGGTCGCGCGCAAGTTGCGTGCTTGTGTACAGACTCATCATCAGCGCACCATCGGTGGTATCGAGAAGGCACATGCCTGCTGTGAAGAGCAGTGGAAAGATCAAGATCAGCCAAATTGATGTCCCCTTTGTGGCTTGAATCGAACTTATTCCTAGGATAGCGATCTCGGAAGAAGTGTCGAAACCTAGCCCGAAAAGTACACCCAGAGGATACATCTTCCAGGGTCGGTCGACCAACTTGAAGAGCTTCTGCAATATCGGGAAGAGGCAACCGCCGCCCTGTATCTTGAACTGTTCGTGCTCACTACCAGGGTCGCTCGAAACCATCTTTCGCATCTGTACTATGAGCTTGTACAGAATGTAGATGTTCATAAGACCAAGGAGCAACAAGAAAGCAGCAGAGACTGAAGTGCCGATAATGCCACCGACACGCTCGAAATTGTCAAACTTGTCTGACACCGCCGCTGCAGTTCCTGCAACGATGAGCGACGTGATGATGACGATGGTAGAATGTCCGAGACTGAAGAACATTCCAACCGTCACTGGCCGCTGGCCTGCAGCAACCAGACGGCGAGTCATGAGATCGATCGCCGAAATATGATCTGCATCCAGGGCATGGCGCAAGCCCAGAGTGTATGAGAGGATTGCTGTCGAGATCAGTGGCGTATGCCAGTGCTGCCGACGTTTAGCATATGCGATCAACGCCATTTGGATTCACCTTCTTTACTTACTAAGACTATACCAACTGCCGCCCAAACAAGGAGGTTTACAGCGACGAGGGTGATGATGATTGCAATTGCCGCGAATGGGAGCCTTCTGAGGTAGGGTGTCTGCGCATGATATGCAGATGCTTTGTTGGATGCATTGCGAAAGAATGATAATTTGCTCCCTGCATCGCTACCCACTACAGATGAGGGGCGAGAGGTTGCCATTCTACCAGAGTTCGCCCTCGCGCGTAACAAAGAGCGCGACAACTTGAGCTCGAAGCCTGATAGAAAGTGAAGGAAGTTTGAAGAGGTAACTATAGTGAAGCTTGGAAGGTAAGTATCGCAGATGCGGCTCCTGTCGTCCACGGGTGGCACCGTGGGATGCAAATGACGCCAAGTGGGGCTAGCAGCTGTTATCGTGACCCTCTGGCGGGGTAATTAGCATCATGGTGTACTAATGGTCGCGAATCCACAAAACCTCGGCATCAAGTTTTGACAATCAGAAGCTCGTATTATATATGGTGAACTATCGTCGACTCTCAAATTTTGCGGAAGCATAGACATGCGTTGGTGCCACCAAAACCGAAGCTATTCGAGAGAGCCACATTGACTCTGTGCTGTTGAGCAGCATTGGCGACGTAGTTGCAGTTAAAGTCAACCGCCGGATCTCCTGGATTCTCAAGATTGAGAGTCGGAGGTAGGATGTTCTGGTCATCGTCAACATGTAGGCTATGGCAAGAACCACATCTGACTTACGTGATGCATCCCAAGAATCGTGAAAATTGTCTCCACGCTCCCTGCAGCACCCAGAAGATGTCCGACCGCACCTTTTGTACTGCTCACATTGATTTCACAAGCTCTATCCTTTCCGTCTTCGCCAAGCAGAAGCTCTTTGATGGCTCGGTTCTCCGCAGCATCACCTAGTGGGGTGCTCGTCGCATGGGCGTTCACGTAGTCGACAGCGCTTGGCTTGAGGCCGGCATGTCGTAGTGCATGCTTCATTGCGAGACGTGGACCTTGGCCATCTTCGCGAGGTGCCGTCATGTGGTGTGCGTCGCTGGACAGTCCGTAGCCGGCGACTTCAGCATAGATGTTCGCACCTCGCTTCCTTGCGTGCTCGAGTTCCTGCACCTGATTAGATACGACAGGTACGGCAACCTTGCACACAGCGATCGCGTACCTCGAGAACCACAACTCCGGCTCCTTCTCCAATGACAAAACCATCCCGTTCTCGGTCGAATGGTCGACTGGACTCCATGGGCCGTTCATTGAACTCAGTAGCCAGGCTTCTAGCCCTAGCAAAGCCTGATATGGCGAGAGGATGAATGCATGATTCAGCTCCGCCGGCTATCATAACATCTGCATCTCCGAACTGAATCAAACGTGACGCGTCTCCGATGCTATGTGCTCCGGTCGTACATGCTGTTGTTGCCGCATGGTTCGGTCCCTATCATGGCTCAGCATCAACAAACATAGCCAGAAGGTTATAGCCACCTTGAACCCATAACGCATCGATATGTGACCTGCGGCTAGGTTGATCAACAGTCGTGGAACAAAGAGCGGGGACACCTTTCGGTAACCCTAGCACAATCAGTTGACAGTTACGATCGATAGCTGGGACAACCCACGCCTTTCTCATAAGCAATTGTGGTATCATACACATCGTCTAAACTGCCGATACCAGATCCCATGTACACTCCCTATCTCGGCGTGAGTAAGATGCAGGCTGGGCGGATGCTGAGCCTCCGTACTGTGACTTCAAGATCGGCCTCTTCCTTCGAAAACCATCCCGCATCATTAAGAGCTTCATCGGACGCCACCATGGCGTACTGTGCGAAGCGTGCCATACGGCGTTCATCCTGTAATAAAATTAACATTGTCAAAGACAAGAACGTTGGGTGGCGGTACATACGCTGTGGCTTAGATGCTCCTTTGTATTCCATTTACCATCGGTTTTGCTACCCTGAGGAACCAGACCAGCGACTTGGCTCGGTAGCAGCGCGAATTCAGGGCTTCTGTCTTTGATGGAAACGATGCCACACTGGCTATCGATCAGACGCTTCCAGGTTCGTCGAACACCTATCCGCGTTAGGAGAAATGGGATCAAAGCAAGGTGAACGTCGCGTCACCTAGTCCAAGAGGGGTTACAAGCCCTAAGCCTGTTACTACTACCCGTCGCATCGCATGTCAGTAATAATGGTTGATGTTGGATACGGACGCGTTTGGGTGGGCAGAGAGAGCTAGTGTCACGCGCAAGCCACGTGTGGCGTCCGTTAGCGAGAGGTGCGTGCTACATAGCCGTGATTGCGTCCGTCCTTGTTGTTTTAGATGCCTTCATTTCGCTCCCATCGCAGGAATTCTATATAGTGCACGGTGAGCTTGGTTTCCATTTGCAGCCGTTGACTGGTCAGAGTACGCTTTGCGCCAGTCGGTTGATGCATTATTTCGACGATGACAAGTCGTATTTGGGCCAACAATATATTTCCGTGTACTATAAAAGCCAGCCAACAACCTGCAATTTGCTCATGACCATCGCAATCAAAGTCTGGAGAGCTCAACTTTCCTGTTGTTGTCCAATCATCTAACTTGAAACACCTATGGGCAGCCGGTGACTCTGTCTCTTGATTGCACTCGAGGGTTTGGCGACAGTCTTCGTGTTGTTGCACAACCTCATGGGAAAAATCGTATGGTAACGCCATTCTGCGCAAAGCAGTGATTATGTCGCCAAGTAGGTGAAAACAATCCTAGACGATGGCGGACAGGCAACACTCGGAGGGAAGCCCTGAGTCTTGTCTCGGGCATTGCGGGGAACTTTGGAAGCAGTGTCAAGAGTATCAAGGCTTGGGCAGACACTTCAAAAAACCAATCTGGGCAAAGGGTGATCGTTGATGTTTGACAAATCGAGGGTATCATACGGGCCAGGCAAATCCCCAAAAGCACGTCATTGTCTTGGCGAGCCTCGTCTAGCGGGCGTCTGCAAGCAGCACTCAACACCAATGTGATGACTCCCCACAATGTGATCGATACGCCAGACTTCCTGCGACGCAGGCTCCACTCTTCCCTACGACTACACATACGATATCGCGAATATGGAAACACATGGATCTGCCAATGGATCGACGAAGTATAGTAGGTGCATTTTAAACTTTTCTTGCCGTCGCAAGCATTTCGGACAGGCAAAGCAAGAACGGCTGGTTGCTGTAATTTGCTATGCGGAATGTTGGAGAATCCAGACGGGTTTCCTTGACGCGTTCTGGCGGTGCATGATCCAAACTGACATGCGGTAGGGACGGTGTCGTCGCAACCCGAGAATCCGTTCGCCAAACTTATCCCCGACCAGACCTTTGCCGTCATCCCCCGGGTCACGCTCGAATCCGGCGTCGTGTTACACAATGTCAGCGTTGCCTACAAGACCTACGGTACCCTCGCGCCCAGCGGAGACAATGCCATGGTGATATGCCATGCGCTCACGGGAAGCGCTGACGTGGGAGACTGGTGGGGACCGTTGCTAGGTGGGCCTGGGAAGGCTTTTGATATATCGCGCTTCTTCGTTGTCTGTATGAACAGTCTCGGCAGTCCTTACGGGAGCGCAAGCCCGGTCACAGCAAAAGATGGCGACGTCTCGCTGGGTCCGTACGGACCCGAGTTTCCACTGACAACTGTAAGAGACGATGTCAAGTTAGTCGAGCGAAATCTGGAATTCGTACTTGGAAGCCGCTAACGGGCACAGTGTCTTCAAGCTCCTCTTGGATGATCTTGGTGTGAAGCAGGTCGCTGCGGTCATTGGAGGATCCATGGGCGGTATGCTTGTCCTCGAGTTTGCCTACTTCGGAAAGGACTACGTCAAGACCATCATCCCGATAGCCACTTCCGCTCGCTACAGCGCATGGGGCATCAGCTGGGGCGAAGCGCAACGGCAAAGTATCTACAGTGACCCCAAATACGACGACGGCTATTACGCATATGAAGATCCTCCATCGACCGGGCTTGGAGCCGCACGCATGTCTGCTTTACTGACTTACAGAAGCCGCGACTCGTTCGAATCAAGGTTTGGGCGCAACACACCAGACCTGTCCAAGAAACAGAGCATCAACACTGTACCGCGACCGACCACTCCGTCCAATCCCTCCCACGAACACTGGGCGATACACAACCACGGTCACAAGAACGCTGGCTCGCCGCGTCTGATGTCACGGACAAACAGTAGTACCGCCATACCCGGTTCTGCAGCCGCACATGCCGACCTCGAATTCCATGATGCATCGGACCCAGGCACTCCGAACCTCGAAAGGTCAAGCTCGACAAGTAGCAGCAGTCAATTCCCGCGCTCATCGAAGCCTCTAGCGCCGCACTACTTCTCAGCACAGTCCTACCTCCGTTACCAGGCCGACAAGTTCATCAAGCGTTTTGACGCTAATTGTTACATCGCAATCACAAGAAAGCTGGATACGCATGATGTGTCCCGCTACCGCTATCCTGAAGGCGAGACACCCGAAACACTAGATCCAGTATCGGCCCTTCATCATGCGCTTTCCTTGATTGAACAGCCTACACTTGTACTAGGTATACAATCGGACGGTCTCTTCACATTTGCCGAACAGAAGGAATTGGCCGCGTGTATTCCCAAGGCTACACTTAAGACGATCGATTCTCCAGATGGTCACGACGCCTTCCTCCTGGAATTTGAGCAGGTAAACAAACACTTACTAGGCTTCCTCAAGACCGAGCTTCCAGGGATCATGAATAGAACACCAAACATAGAGACCGCAACAAGTGATTCTGGTATGGTCGCCACCAAAAGCAGCACGTTTGGTGAGGCTGAGATCGACGATATCACGGCATGGTAAGAAGAATGGGAGCATTAAATTTGGCACGGCGTTCTGGGTTCAGAGGATAACTGCACTGGTCGGCGTACAGATTTCGGTATAGGCTTGAAAGAAGCCCGCATGAGTATGATGCGCCCTGGGGCGTCCCGAGCTGAGGTTCAACCCCTCGTAGACACCAAGTACTGCAGCATGAGAGCAGCAACAACGACCCAATAATTCTGTCCACTTAGTTTTCCCGAATCTTTCAACTCCGTCACAAACGGCTCGCTCATGTCCAATTTACCTCATGTCTGTACCCCGCCTTGCACGCTAATCTTTAGTCGTCTCCGCACGTCCACCGTCTCGCGTGCCCCTCATCCTCGGTTCGTATACACAGCGGATACTCCCCGCAGACCTTGACACGAACGTGCTTTATCCGATCTGGTCTCCCGAGTTGCAGTGCCGTAGGATCACGAGGGCTTCGGTGACGATGTACGGTAGATTATGAACGCAACGTCTTGACAATGGTAGAGGGATTATCTGTGTACCGAATTCGGACTGCTCATGCTTTTGCGACCCCGATCAGTAACCTTCGACTATCCGTACAAAGGCCAAGAACAAGGTCCGTTAAGTTGGACCCCCGCACATAGGACAGTGAGTGCCGGGTGTCCGTGTTGATACATATATAGGTGTATTCGGAGTGACTTAATGTTCCTCAATCAGCCATAGTCCCTTTCTTCACATCGTCCCGAATACAGTAACATTATGCAACTCCCCAAAACACAAAAGGCGGCCATCAAACAAGGCACCAGCGACAACGCTACGATTACCATCAAGGAGATTCCTGTCCCGGAACCAGCTCCTGACCAGATTCTCGTCAAGATAAACTACAGTGGCCTCTGTGCCTCGGACAAATCCCTGCTCCATGATGAGTGGGACTTCAAGATGGCCGAATGTACCAAAGGCATCGCAGGCCATGAGGGCGCTGGCATCGTTGTAGCCGTTGGCGCAAACGTGCAGGATCTCTGGCAGCCTGGTAATCGCGCTGGTATCAAATGGATTGCGTCTGTATGCCGACGATGCGAGTTTTGTACTAATGGCCAAGACGAATGTCATTGCCCGAAGCAGCTGAACAGTGGATTTACTGTTGCGGGAACGTTCCAGGAGTATTGCTTAACGGATGCGAGGTATGCGACGAGATTGCCTGATGGTGTCAAAGACGAGGAGGCGGGCCCAATCATGTGTGGTGGTGTTACAGCATATGTGGCTTGCAAGAGAAGTAAGGTACTCCCCGGGCAGTGGATTGTCATTCCGGGAGCGGGTGGTGGTGAGTATGCGCATAGCGCTTTTGTGTCCTCTTCCGTCTTTCGCAGCGACGAAATTGAAACCGTCATATAAGATGATACTGATACCACCCAGGCCTTGGTCATTTTGGTGTTCAGTACGCTCGCCATATGGGTATGCGCGTTATTGCCATCGACGGCGGCGCCGCCAAACGCGATCTGTGCCTCTCTCTTGGTGCCGAGAGGTTTATCGACTTCACTACATGCTCGGACATCACTTCCGAGATCATGAAGATCACTACTTATGGCGCCCATGGCGTGATCGTTTTCGCAGCAACGAAAGCAGGCTACGAACAAGCGCCACACTTGCTGAGACCCAACGGCACGATGGTGTGTGTAGGCCTACCGAAAGATTCGTCGATCATTGCGGGAGCTAGTCCAATCCTGATGTGCCTCAAGAGATTGAATGTTGTGGGAAGCGTGACAGGAACGCTAAAGGACGTTGAGGAGGTGAGTGTTATTCTCGCGAGCTAGGTAGGGAGACTGCTACTAACTGGGCGGGTAGGCACTCGACTTTACTTCGCGAGGACTCGTACATCCGATTCTGACTCATGGTGGTTTGGAGGATATTGATCGGTTCTGTGCAGACATGAATGCAGGGAAGCTTGCTGGACGGGCTGTTATCAAGATCGCTGCGTAGATGGGTACAGTCCACGATGCTCTACATCAAGTAGAAATTTGGTACCGCCATGCTACACTCAAGATAGATCTGCGCCAAACCCTACGTGAAGCAAATCAGAGGCGAATCATTTTTCTGCTCTGCTTGACTCCTTCCTTCGTTATGATGCGGCTGAATGCGTGGCTGAAGGGTTTACGAGTGGCTGTGTTTTACAATGGGTTCATCTTAACTTGCCTCGTGCAAAAACTAATCAGCGCTCTTTGGAGCACTACCTCGGTGACAGACCTACTCAAATGTAGCTCTCGATCTGCTATTGAAGAATAGAGTAACCAGCCACGGAGGCATCAGCGAAATTTAAGGTGATGGATGATGACGGTATGGAGAGGATCATAGGTTTCAAATCAAGACCAGGATACTAGACGAAGCTGTCGAGACAAAGGTGCCGGTTGCCACGAATATGCCGGATAGAGTGCAGCACTGCAGATATCCGCTGTGCGATGTATGATTGTCCTAGGGCTAATGTGAGATTGCGATAGTCATCTGACTTTTCACCGTACGCAAACCGTACCACGGAAATTGTTTATCGAAATGTCTGGCGCGGCGCAAGCAGGATTGCCTCACAGGTGACGCGAAAATGACGGAAAGATGACGTGAAAAGACAAAACGATGGTGTTCGAAAAGGAGCGGCGAAGAAGAAAGGAAGACAGTCGAGCAGGGAGAAGGTGTTGGCGATATCTGGAATCGGACAGGAGGGTGCGACCTGCGTGTGTCGGTCAGTATAGGCCACAAGGCGAGCGTGTCCGAGGTACGGAGGACAAAGACAAGCGGCGAACGCGTGCCGCCTGCGCCAGCGTACTGCGAACCCGAGCCGTGGGATTGCAATTAGCTGATGACTTCGGCATGCCTAGGGCAAGAAGCCGTCATGTGTCGAAGCCAAGATAAAGCCGACCTAGGGCGAGGCCTGACTCAGCTAAAGTGGCGCGGTTTGCGTTAGCAGGGCGCGGGGCGTGTCATGGTGGTGGAGCCGAGACTGTCAGCGTGGTGTGGGAGCAGCGAGAAAAGCGATGGTGTGGTGATTCTAGGCTCGGTGGGAGGTGCGCGAGATTCCCAGCTGAGGCAAAAAGCACGCAGGGTGGAGTGGAGTGCGGCGGACGACGGATCGCTTGCAGAGGTGCAGGACTCGACTTGGCTCAAAGGGGCGGGTGGGCCTGTTTCTAGGTCCTGTTAGCGGCATCTGGAACGTCTTCAGGCCTTGACGAGTTATCCTTGCATGGCACCAACAACTGCAGGGCAGCTGATAGCAACAAGTGATGCTCCTCTTCTCCGCCAGCTTCCATTCGCACTGCCCTGCGCTGTCAATCTCTCCGTCAGACTTGTGTCGCATCTTCCTCGGTCACATACGACGCGCCCCGTCCGCATTTCATTCCACAGCAGGACCACCCCTGTCGTCGCTTTTAGATATACCCAACGCGCCTGCCACCGCTTCTTTCGCTTCTGCAGCTCCTGTGGCGTCATCTCGACAGCGACACTGGACTTTGTCCGTTTGCTCGACTTACTTTTTCCTGACGAGAACAAATCACTGTGACACATCGAGTCCGGGGATTCCATCGTCAAACCACTACCGCAAGCCACCCGTTCATGGCGCCTTCTCCTCGATAGGTCCATGAGCTGCTTTGGCACCACACGCCGCTTCCAAATACAGCGCCGATACCTACACTAAAGTCGTGCCCTGACCTTGGCCAAGAGCCCTGCAGCCTTGCAGCCATCTACTCTTCAACGCACCGCCCTGCTCCATAGACTCGACCACTGAAGCCATGGCGCAAACACGTGCACCACGGCCTCGCTCGACAAACCCTTCGCCGGCCACGTCAACATATGGATACCACAACACCTACCACACCCACGCCCAACTGCCCATCGGGTCGCCGCCCTCGTATGCTCGCGCAACCGATCCTCAGACCCGTCGCGTTCTAGACGAAAGGACAAGGAGAGAGAAAGAGGCGGTGCGCAGTATCCAGTCACCCCCGCCCTACACCTGCACCGTCGAGATGGAAGGACTTGTTGGCATCAAGCAGGAACTATCCTCGCCATTCCAGGTCTCGGGACATCGAGAATGGCATGATGTCTACGCCATACTTCGAGGCACGCAGTTGAGCATACACCGCATAAAGTACCCGCGTCTCCTCAGCAAGAACAAAGAGCCATGCCCAGGTCGCTTGTTGCGAACCTATTCCTTGCAGCATGCTGAAGTTGGCGTGGCATCTGATTTCAAGAAGACGTTGCTGATACCAAAGTCTCCTTTCGCCCACCTGGTGCCCGCTGTCGCTCGGCCTAAACTGTACGAAACGGATCCACAGCTTTTCGAGCCTGTACGGGAACATGCCATCCGCCTGCGCCTGGAGTTTGAGCAGTTCTTGCTCTGTCCGTCGACCGAGCAAGGCATGCTCGACTGGGTGGAATTGTTTTGCGCCGCCATCGACATCAGTGCACCCCTAGAAGATCGCAGCGAGCCCCGCTACAGAAGTCTTCCTCGAAGGGGCAGGCGTCAACGCATTTTGGACAACGCGCAGTTCGGAGAAAACCTCGAGAGTCTGACAAGTCTAGAAGCCGGCCGACGCATCGTTGCACAACAGGAGCAAATTATCCGCCAACTTTACCCACATCTGGCTGGCACCCGCGACTCGGGCATCAGCCACGCAGCACCTGCGCCAGACCTGGAATTCGACGACTTCGACCCCGAAGACGTTCGTTTCCCGACGCGGCATGCGAGAGAATCGCTAGCACCCATCTCTTCACACGACTACGAGCAAGGTGATGACGAGCGTCCTGAGAGTGACTCATCGTCAGATTCCAAATCGGCACCCGCGATCCGACCTTGCCCTGCGCAGACCCTGCGTTACCGCCGCCGTTGCGCTCCAGTGTTGCTTGCTTCTTCTCCACGTGTCAGCGACGTAGTCTTTGGAAAAGGCCAACGCTTCCGCATTAGCGTCAAGGCGCACATGCTCGTCGACTATACCCCGCACCCACCCCGTTACGACGTACATGGTTTCGCGAGGTCCAAACGCTCTGCAAGGCTTACAACGATCCACAGCTCACCAACAGCCACCGCAGACAAAACTGAATCCGCTGCTGCCTCATCAGAGAGACCCAGCTCGCCTATTCGTGGTGTCAGTGATGATTCCATCACGTCAATCACTTTCGGCGAAGACCTAGGCCCTATGCGCTCCAAGTCAAACAGCGATGCTACAGGCCCATCAGGCCCACCATCGCCGTCTGGCATGTCGCAAACAAAGATGGATACCGCGCGTCAACTGAAGACGTTAGGAAAGCGACGAACGAGCGAGGACAGTCGCGAGACAGGCCTGAGCGCCGTCACAATTGGTGCCGGCTTGATGATCTGAGCATCCATCATACATTACATCTACACATACTCTCTTATGTCTTGCTGCATCACTGGGCGTCAACCGAGCCTACACTCGGCTTAGAGGGACCACTACTTTTCTTTTTAGCGTTTGCACTGGTGTCATAAGCCGGAAGGAGGATATACCCATTTTACTTTGTACGGCATATAACGAGAGCGTTTGCGTTGGGCTAGCAGTCGTAGTCGACGGCAGCGGGTCGTCTGTATATAGGCCATGCTGACATTAATCAAATTCATCTATAGAAATGACCCGTGCATGTAATCTTTCCATAGCTCCACCTCTCAAGCAAAGTCGCGATCCTGACACGTCTAAAACTTGACATAGCCCTTGTCCTTGACAAACGTAGCTAACCACGGTACATCCCTTTCTTGCTGCACCAACTGCGCATAGAATGCGCCGTGCGCAGGGCCATCTACACCGTTTAGCATGGGTGCACCATCTGCAAATGTAAAGTTATGAAGTTAGTGTATCTCTCATATGCGGTTTGTATAGTCATTTTCTTACCATGCTGTCGTTGGTCTGCATAGAAGAACCTATAACCCGATATTAGCAGAACATCCCATGTCCAACCCACACGTTGACAGCAAGAGAAGTGTTGCGTAGAGGGAAAAAAACAACTCACCGATACCCCTTCTCCTTGTACAAAGCATCTGCCATGCCAACCCAATGCGCACTCGCGCTCTTTCCCACACCCAGTGTCAAGAACAGCGGGACAGGCGCAATGGTCTGATTCAGCGTATTGCCAGTGTAGATAAACGTCTTCTTATCCCCTGCATGCTCCTCCCCCATGCTTTCCCAGCTCTTGACCGCTTCCTGCGCTGCCACATACGGACTCACGGTATTGACATTCAGGTCTTTGGCAAATTGTTCCTGGGATATGGATAGCACGCTCTCTTCCACAGGGGGAGGCGTCAGCGCGGCAGCGTTCCAGACCACAACGTTGGGCGATGTGCCGTACTCTTTTAGCACGAGCGAGAAGAGGTTGGGAATGGATGTTGGCGCCGTGAAATCGGCTTTCAGGGTGAGGATGCCCGTGTCGGGGTTGATGCTGTTCGTGCCGGATCGGGAGGCAGTTGCAACGCGGTAGTTCAGGATGGTGAATGAGGTGCTTATGGCTAAGCCTACATTGGGGCCTGCGCCGAGAATGAGGGCGACGGGTTTGGTGGACATGATGTTGGATTGATGCTGCCCAGGTGCGTGAGGCGGTACGATGAGACAAGAGACAAATGGGGCCAAGATACAGAAGCGGTTGGTGGTCCTATTGAAGATGCATGTGCCCTCCGTTGATACTTATATGCAGTGGGACGGACAACCAGGCAGCCTCCCATCCATCCGCCAGCTTCCAGAGTCCCGTTGCATTTATAATCTGTGCTGCATACCTGTATGTCAGCACAATCACCCCGGACTTTGCTTTCATACATTCTCGCTCTTTGCCAGTCGTTGAGTAGGTGAGAAGCCAAGAGGACGAATCCAGAAGGAGGACGTCGGGAACGTGCATGAAGAGTTACAAACAGGACGTAATCGGTGCCAAGCGAAGACTTACCAATCAACATGACTTGGCGAATCGGGATATTTGGCCGTTTGGTAGGTTGAAATGCAACGGAACTGTGCCGCGCAGGAAGCGAAATGGAAGAGAACTTGAACTGAGCGGCAATTCTCTGAATCCGCGGAATCGGCCATATCGTACAATACACCACTCATACCTATAGTCACCATTCATACGTCATCCAAGTCATAAGCATCGTGCTCAACCCTCTGCTTCCTCCCTTTCCTTCCCTTGCTACCCCGAATTTTCCGATCCGCAGTATACCGTCCATCGCGGTCACCAACCAACAACCTCCCTCCCTTGCCAAGCACCTTTGCGGGGCCTTCCTCGACGGTCCTTCCATCTTTCTCACCAACACCTATTTCGATAGTGACTTGCTTCGCCTTCTTGACTTTCCTGCCCTTTTTGTCGAATTCGTCGTTTGGCCGGCCTAGACGTACGTTGCGTGGTATCCGCGTCTTTGCGCCGAGGGCCCAGAGGTCGCCCCAGCGGACTTTTCGCGCGTCGCGGTAAGCTTGCTTGCTGAAGGAGCGTGGGACGGTCCAGCGCTCTAGCGTGCCAGCAGGTGTGCACACATCTAAGATGATATGGCCTCTGCGCTTAAGTGCGGGGAGCACAAGACGTGGGAAGGTGAGTGGGTTAACGTCGGTAGATAAGGACATGACGGGCTCTTCGGTTCCTGGGTCTGATGATGGGCGCCATTCGTGCCCTTCAAAAGCTGCGGCGGTTGATGCTTCACCTTGCACGAACCCTTTGCCGAGGATGTCATATTGTGGAAGGCGCTGGTCGCGTCCACGCTGGACGGCTAGGTAGCTGAACTGCACATCCTCATGGTTCTTGTCTTTTGCATTCAAGATACGTTGAAGGTATGGAGGGCGGATGTACCGCTGATTGAAGAAACAAAAGTCCTTCCTTCCTTGGCTCACACCTGTAGACTGATACATCGGGCACGTGCTGTGATTTGTGCATGGTGCAACGATCATTCCCGTCTCCTTCTCAGAGAATCTAGTCTCTTCGTCCGGTTTTGACACCTGAGATTCGAGTAGCGTCTCGATAGTTTCTGAGCCGGGAGAAGATATGTGTTTGTTTAGAAGGTACGAACGGGCAGCGGCTACAACTTCAAAGCCTCGTGGTAGGCCTTTCTCAATGAGGATGAGAACACCACCCTTGGGGTTCAGAAGAGACCAGTATTTTTCGACTTGCTCTCTGCGAAGATAGTCTTGTCGGATGGGCCAAAGTGTATGTGGCGCAATGATGACGTCATAGAACTTGCGCGGTTGCTGCGTGTTTGCATCGTCGGCCGCTGTCACAGTCTCTGGCAGTCGCGGGATAAATGTTGTGTTGTCCAGCAACTTGCTTGCACGGTGGCGCAGTGCATCAGATGCGGTCAAGACAGTCGCCTTTCCCAACGGGGTAGCACCAAGCGACGTGTTTCCCGAGTCCTCGTGCATACGTTGCCATTCGGCCTCTAGCATCTCGTGCCATGCGAGCACGCCGACACCACCAGAGCCAGCGTCTAGTATGGTGCCACCCTTTTTGTCCTGCAGCATGTGTTGCAGCCATCCTGACCCTAATCGGCGACGGACTTCAACCATGGCGCTCATGACACTTGCGTATGTGCCTGGCTGTACAGAAGCCATGTAAACATCAGCCTCGATGTTGCCCATATCTGACTGCGAAGGGTGGAGCGGAATTGGTTTCTGCTCGTGGCCCAAGCGTGCAGGGGTCGTGCTGGCGGAGTGAGGCAAACCACGACCGCCAAAGATACGGTTCGCAGACTCGGCGAGGTGTTTGTGGTTGGCGCGCGTCAGGAGCAGCGCGGTAGGGTCGACGAGCGAGTTCTTGGGCAGAAAGACGGTCGAAGGCGATGGCTTGAAGCGGCCCTCGATGGTCAATGGATGTGCGCGCATAAAGCCGTCTTCCTCTTGCCCTTCATCTACGTCCTCCCAGGCCTCTGCTTCCTCTTGTTGCAGTCGACTCTGCTCGTAGATGTCGTCGTGGTATGCCTGCGCCTCTTCCTCCCTGCGCGCTTCCCATTCTGCGGGTGTCATTGTCTCTTGGTCCGGCTCAGCAGCTGCCTCGTCTTCGGCATCGACCTCTTCCGCGACTTCAATCTCTTCGAGTTGGCCGTCCACCCCCTTCCTGAGCAAGACGATGGAACCATCAGGCCCCTCCTGCTCGACAATCTCGTCGTCAACTGCACCGTCAACGCGTTCCGCCTCTTCGGCAGCATCTGCAAAGACGGCTGGGCCATACAGCCTCTTGTATATTGTGTACTCGTCGTCGGTCAAGTGGTCCCGCGGCAACGTATCGCCGAACTGCTGCCTTGCTCTCCGCGCGTTGACTTCGTGGCCAACCGCGTCGGCTGCCGAGGGAGGCAAGCCTTCAGTATCCCGTGAGGCATGTTGCTGCAATTGCCGTCTTCCAAAGGCTGTAGAGAAGGCTCTTCGTGGCGTTGTAGGCTCCGGGGCGACCAAGCGTAGCGGCGGCGGCGCGTGCCGTGTCTGAGAGGGTAATCTTGCGCTACGCGCTCGTGAAATGGCAATGTTTAGTCGGCACGATGCACATACTGACGGTAAGCCTCTCGTCTTCAGCATCATCGAACGCCGACCTTGATCTTGTCGAGCAATGCATTCTGGCCGCTCGAGGCAAAGTTCGCCGCATCTTGAATCCAGGGTCCACGCGCTAAGCCCTGCCCAATCCAGATGCGTGCCGACATGTTTACTCAGCCTGCGCCCCGCTAGAGATGGCTCCCACCAACTATACAACATCGTTTAGTTGTTTCGAAACTATGAACATGGGCCTGGGGCCTGGAGACTTTGACTATCCGTCGCTGAAGAAGCTACTCGACAACACGACTGCTGAAGTCCTACTTCCGGGCGACGGTGAAGAGTACGAAAAGAGCATCGAGAGGTGGAGTGAGCACTGCATAAAACGAGCTGTACGTTCCCTTAGTTCTGTCTTTCTATACAAATGTTCCTGCATCATGTTCACGCACTTATACGAGCAAAGGCTGCTGTAGTCCTAGTCCGGTCCGCCCATGACGTCTCCGCGGTTTTAGCTCAAATACGCGAGCACAGAATCCCCTTCACAGTCCGCGGTAAGCACATCAGAGTACAGCCAAATTACATGTGAGAGAAAGACTCACATTCTGTAGGGGGAGGCCACAGCACGTCTGGAGCTGCGTCTATCCGAGATGGCATCGTCATCGATCTTTCCAAGATGCGCAAGGTGATTGTCGATGTGGATGCCGAAACAATCAAGGCAGACGGTGGGACTATCTGGGAAGATGTCGACGTTGAGGCTGCCAAGTTTGGTCTTGCAACTGTAGGTGGCACCGTCAACCATACCGGCGTGGGGGGCTTGACTCTGGGAGGAGGCTATGGTTATCTTACAGGAAAGTACGGCTTAACGATTGGTATGTGCATGAACCAGTATCAATGAGTATTGACAAAGTCTGCGTTACTGACATCTTCCAGATAATCTCTTGTCCGTTGACATTGTCCTCGCTTCTGGTGAACAAGTTGTCGCGTCAGCCACCTCAAACCCCGACCTATACTGGGCTGTGCGAGGCGCAGGCCAGAATTTTGGAGTAGTGACGGCATTCACATTCCAGGGTTATCAACAGAGGAGCCATGTGTTTGCAGGGCCGCTGGTTTTCCTTCCGGATAAGCTACCACAGGTCGTTCAGTTCGCAAATAAGTTTCATACTACCAACGACGGCAACCAAGCGATGCTCATGGGCTTCTCTGCCCCACCACCGGCGAATGCTTCGGTTGTAATTTGCCAGATCTTTCACAATGGTAACGAAGAAGAAGGAAACGCCTTCTTCGCCGACTTATTTGAACTCGGCCCAATAGCGAACATGACCGCCATGATTCCCTACCCTCAACTCAACAGCCTTCTTAATCAAGGAGCCGGCTTTGATGGACGTAAGCTTTTCGGTGGTGGCGCTTTCAGACTCCCCATGGACCCAAACTTCGCTATGCAGCTTCACGCTGAGTTCAATGCTTTTGTGGCGTCGCATGAGCGAATGAACGAAAGCATGATGCTTTTTGAAGCCGTTCCTTATAAGAAGGTCATGGAGATTTCCAACGACAAGACGGCTTTCTCAAATCGTGGCGATTACTATAATGTGGCTGTGATGATGAAATGGTAAGCCAAATCAGCACCACAGAGGAGTTAATATTAAAGAGAGCACAGGTTCGATCCTTCACTCGACGACAAAATTCGTACGTTCTCACGAAACCTTCTCAAAAAAGCCTCGGAAACTGCCTCGGAACGGTCAAAGGATGGTGGTGTAGGTCAGTACGGCAATTATGCAGCTGCCGATGTTGAGGCGAACGAGATCTTCGGCGCAAACGTGAAGCGACTCGAGGAACTTAAGCACAAGTACGACCCCGGTAACCTGTTCAGTCATGGCACAAAATTGACTCCGCGTCCCTTGGTAGTGGTGAATTGAGTACTCCCACCATATGTGCATATATACAACACGGGATGAAATGTATCGAATCAGATGCGTACAAAATTCAGTCTCCGGTTTACTACTATCTATTTACCACGATGATGCTTTGTTTACCAACAGCTCAGTACATACTTTTGTGTACTTTCCTTCGTCTCGGCT